TAAACTCTAAAAGTAGTTCTTTTGCTTTTGGAAATAAATGTGAACTATCTTTTGTAAACAAATACGATATCGGGCTCTATGAAACTTATGGAATTAATAAACTAGGCAATGAAGATAAGTATGATTTACTAAAAAATGTTTATAAACCAAGCTCTAGTTTTCATTTTGAATCCATTAAATTAGGTCGTTCCTTTCAATTCTCTTGGCTCTCATTATACTCTTGGCTTGCATATTCAGAAATTAAAAAAGGTGCTTATTGTGTTAATTGTGTTATTTTTGGATCTGAAGAAACAAGTCATAATGCAAGTAAACTTGTTCAGCTTTATAAATCTCCATTTGTGGCATATTCAAAGGCCATTAATAAGTTTAATAAACATGCTGAAAGTTCACCAATTCACCAAACTGCAACTCTAAAGGCAACTCATTTTCGCCAATGTATGGAGCAAAAGATAAATTTTATTGACTTAAATCTCAACAAAGTAATTGATGAACAAGTCAAGAAAAATAGAGAAATATTAAAACCAATAGTTCTGGCAATTATTATGTGTGGAAAACAAAACATACCTCTCCGAGGTCACAGAGATGATTCATTTTACTATGAGAATGAAAATAGTAACTCTGGCAATCTTCAATCAATTTTGAAATTAATATCTCATTGTGCAGAAAACAGTTTCGTGAATGGGCGAATTTCTACTCCAAAAAATGCTACATATCGCTCTAAAACTACTCAAAATAAGTTGATTAATATTTGTAATGACATAATAATTTCTAAATTGAAATGTGAAGTTAAAAAGGCTAAATTTTTTTCAATATTAGCAGATAAAGCATCTGATGTGAGCAATATGGAACAAATGCCACTTGTATTATGCTTTGTAAATGATAATTGTGAAATTTGTGAACTATTTTTTGGTTTTATTCCTTGCGACTCAGGCTTGTCTGGAGAAGCTATAGGCAGCCAAATTTTGAATAGTATTAAAGATTTGGGATTAGAAATGAAATTTTGTGTTGGTCAAGGTTATGACGGTGCTGGTAACATGGCTGGGAACTGTTCCGGTGCTGCAGTAAGAATAAAAGCTATTTATCCAAAAGCATTATATGTTCATTGTGGATCTCATGTCCTCAATCTTTGTGTTGCAAATGCCTGTAACATACAGATAGTTAGCAATATGATGTCAAATGTTCATGTTATATCTCAGTTCTTTAATTTTAGTCCAAAGCGTTTTGATGTTCTGAAAAAAAAATTGAAGAAATGTTTCCAAAAGCTCATCACTCTCGTTTAATAGATGTATGTCGTACAAGATGGATTGCCAGAATTGATGGTTTAGATGTGTTTATAGAGGTACTTCCTGCTATAATTAAATGCTTTGAGCTAATGATTAATAACGATGAAAAGTCTTGGAATCATGACTCAGTGCGGGATGCAAATAGTTATTTCTTTGCTACTAGATCTTTTCAGTTTCTTGTTACTTTAGTAGTGGTGTCTCGCTGTTTGGAAGTAACAAGACCGATTACAAAACAATTTCAATCTCCAAACTTTGATGTTTTTGCATTGCATGAAAAAATAAATTTGTTACATCTTGCTTTACAGCGACTAAGATCAGACATTGAACACAGTCATGGTGCTTGGTATAGTGAGGCAGTTGTATTGGCAGCTAGTGTTGGTGTTTATGAGCACAAGCCTCGTACAATAGGAAAACAGCTTAATCGAAATAATTTTCCTAGTGAATCTATTAATGAGTATTACAAGAAAGTCATTACAATTCCTTTTCTTGACCATTTATCATCCCAGATTCAATTACGTTTTTCTAATAAAAACATTGCTGTTTATAATGGATTCTTTGCAATGCCAACTAACGTTTTAAATGTTGCCGAATGGAGAAGCAACTTTCTTCTTTTTTCAAATGAGTATGAGGATGAACTTCCGGAACCACGGTATATCATGACCGAATTGAACATGTGGGAAGATTATTGGCGTAGCTTTAAAAATTCCCTTCCTACTACTCAGACCAAACTCCTTTCTCTTATTGATAGAATAACTTTTCCTAATATATTTACCTTAATTCAAATTCTTGCAACTATTCCAGTAACAACATGCACTTGCGAAAGATCAATCTCTGTTATTCGTCGTTTAAAAACCTATCTACGTAACACAATGTCACAGAATAGATTTAATAGTCTTGCTTTAATGCACGTTCACCAAGATATCAGCATCGATGTAAATGAAGTGATTGATTGTTTTGCTAGGAAAAATCCTCGTAGAATGAAACTTGTAGATATTTTAAATTCTGATCCAATTTAAACTGTTTTATTTAATAATATAATATAAATATATTATTTACTGTTTTATATATTTTATTGAGTAATTTAAATAGTGGTCCTAGAAAGTTCTGAAAGTTCTAGAAAGTTTTTTTTGTATTTTTTAAGCATGAAATTATACTTCAAAAAATATATACAGTAGAATCTTGTTAAGTCTGATTCTCAAGGGAAATAGATAAATAATCAGACTTGGCGAATGTCAGAGTTAGGGGAAGCTCTCGTTTGTATAGAAAGCTCAATAGGAATTGAAAAGCTGACTTAGTAAAAGTTTGAGTTATCAGACATAATTATAAAGTTTTCATTATTAATAAATTAGCATTATTGATAGTTATAATTATAGTTTAATTATAATTAAAGTTAAATTATAACTGGATTTAAAAATAAGTCTGTTCTTACATTTTTACTTATATTTTTGGGGAATATCCTTGGAAAATAAATGGCTCCAGAATATCATGAAACTCAGAATATTTATTTTATTACTGTTACATAATTTTGTTTATAAACAGTGTTATATAATGTTATTAAATCTATCACTATTATTGATGTATTTAGTGTAAGAGTTTATTATTATTGTTATTATTTTTGTTATAATTTATAAATAATTATCGTGTATAATTATATATTTTATATATCATAGTATTAATTATTTTTAATAGTGAGTTTTAATACAATTGTGTTATAATTGCAATATAATGTGCATGACACAGGTGTTTTTAGAAGTTAAACTAGATGGTTACTTGTTACATTTTCAAGTTTCTGTTTAAAGATCATATTAGAAGCAAATTTTGAGTTCCATTGAAACTAGATTTTTATTAACAATTTTTTTTATCAGTTCTTCATTTTGTAACTATTTTACTATTTTATTTTAGTTTTCCTACTGTTGAAATATGGTTTTAATTTAGTAAAGTTTCATGATTTGAAATTTACTTTATTGGTCATAAGCTAACAGTTTAGAAAAGGAAATTTAGCACAGTTAGGGTAAGAAATTTGTTTACTTTTAACATTTCAAAACTGGGTTTTACTGTTCAATTCTTATGCTATTCCTAGTTTATGTTAAATGTCATACGAATAATAAATAAATTGTGTGTTCATTGTTTGGGGTCATAAAATTATTGTATCATTATTGATTGATTCTTTATATAACGGTCGATCACTGCCAATATATAGTTGCTGCATTACTTTGCATACAAAATATTTTTATGTACACAAAATTACTTTCGCACTGTACTCTAATAAATAGGAGGGTCGGAAATTTTTTTAAATTATAATAAACGGGGGAGAGGGGGTTTCTTAATAAACCGAAGGGTCGGAATTTTAAAAAGCTTAAAATAGATTTTTTGGTTGGTTATTCATATTTTCATCTATTATTGAGAGAAATATTTTTCTCAAAGTAAAAAAATAGCAATAATATTTTATATTGTTTCAAATTAATAATCAAGGGGAGGGGGGGGATTGGGATCCTAATAAGCTCCGGGATGTCGGAAAAAAATTCCCTCCCCGTACATTATAAAAACCTTTTTTACAACCAGCCCCTTTCATGCAACGCAAAGCGCGGGGGGGAGGGGGTTATGAAAACACCCCCTCATCGTCGCAGCACAACACGTATTTGCCAGCACCCCTCAAAAAAAAAGCTAGATCCGCCCCTGTATATATATATATATATATATATATATATATACGCTATAGAATATATATATATATATATATATATATATATATATATATATATATATATATATATATATATATATATATATATATATATATATATATATTTGTGGAACTCGGCGGAACATTATTTTAGCTTATATATAAACAAAAATAAAATAGAATTACTTGTTACCTTTTTTTTAGAGAGTCTTTAAATTTAAACAAAAAAATCAATCTTTTTTTTTTCTTTTTAATATATTTGCTAATTGCGTAGTATAAAGCTAAAAACTTTAAAAGTTTTTAGCTTTATACTAAACGAGTTTTTGAAAATAAACTTATTAGGGATCGTCCATAAAGTACGTACGCTCGGGTGAAAGGAGGGGGACTGCAAATGGCGTATATGAGATAGGAGGGCAGTGGGTCAATTACAAAATAAAGGAAAAACTAAATTTAAAAAAGTATCATAAGATTTTAGATAAATAGGTTTAGGTACCTTTAGGGAGGTGGAGGATACTCAAAAAAACGTATTGCAAAATGTTGGGGGGAGGAGTGGTAGATGAAAAAAAAGCGTACGTACTTTATAGACGACCCCTTAAGCGATAATATTTTGTCAGTATGTTTTATCATAATGATTTGATGCCTGCATAAATTTTAATTTTGCAAGTATAAAAATTTGTAATAAAAATAAAAATTTTAAACATTTTTCAAGTGATCGAGACAAGATGACTTAGCGTTTTTTGTCTTTAACTTTATAAACTACCAACTACACTATTTAAATAATACAAAAAAATATACCCGAAGAACACCACTTTTAGCAATAACCCTAATATACTATACTAAAATATATATATAGTATATATATATTTTAGCAATAACCCTAATATACAAGATGTATATATACTGTTTTGTTTCCGCCCACATTTTTTTGTAAGTTTTTATATTAAATATTTTCTTGCTACATTCACTACTTTGTCCCGTTTTCTCTATTTTGACTAAACTTGTTAACTATATGAGACATTAAATTAAAAAAAAAAAAAAAACTTTAATAGGTTAATTGCACGCAATTTATTTCAATTTATGACAGAAAATTATTTTTTTTCTTTCTTGGTCTCTAAAGTCTCAACAAATAAAATGTTTTTAGATGAAGATATAAAAGAATTTTTTTTCATTTTTCTTTCCTCGCAAACAGTAGTAACGTCATCGGAGTTCATTGATATCTAAAGTAAAAATTCATAATCTATTTAAAGTTTAATCCTGTATGTAAAAATATTATTTAATAAAAAATATATTTTTTTTGTTTTAAATTGGTAAATTTTTCTTCCAGCCAGAGAATGAGGTACTTCTGACTTTTATCCTTTCTTAAACCTTTTTTTAAAATGCTTCAAAATGCTTTTGAAAATATAAAAAATAACTTTGAGCATACACGAGAAAACCTTTTGTAGGGAACAAAAAGCAGAATTCAAAAAAGAAATAGCTTGAATCCAATAATAGACGTTTAGGAAATAACTACACTCAACAATTTCAAAACTATTCAAAAAAACTTCTTTTTAAAAAAATTTTCAGAAAAAATAAACGAGAATTTTTTGTTAAAAAAGTAACATTGAAATAAAAACTAAACTTATTAGAAAAGTCTTTGCATTCTTATCAAAAATTAATACTAATGTAGCAAGTGGTTGTGGACGTGTGTTGCATATAAATAAAGTATGGAAAGTTTTTGCTCTCAAATTGAAAAAAAGATTCTTTAGATGTAAATCAAAAACAAGTTTGAACAGATTTATAAACTCTGTTGTTTTTCTTGCGTCTAATCATAAATTTCAAAAATTTTTATACCATATAACATCATTTTCAACATGATATAAATTTAAAACTTCAATCTTATCATTATCTTGTCAGCAAAATTGACAAATTTAACATTTTAGAAAAGCTTTACTTTGCAGCAATTTTTATTTAATACATCTCTTTATTTCAATATTTATTTGAGTTTTTGTTATAAAATTTTTTTACAGGGCCAACGACACGGGTTTCGAAGTGGGGGGGGGGGGGGGCACAATCGTAAACTTTTAAAAAAAGTCTTGTATATCTATTATTTTCTCAAAAAAAAAAAGGTTCTTTAGAAAAAAAGTGGGGGGAAAGTATAAGTTGCTTTAGAAAAAAAGTGATGCCCCTCTGACCCCATCACAGTCGTCGGCCCTGTTTTTCTAGGCAAAAATAATAAAATAGATTTAGTTTTAACAGAAATATAGATGTATTTTTGTAGAAGATGCTTATAGATATAGTGGGGTGATTACAATAAAGAAAACGAACAAAAAATCATAGTTAATTAAAAAGGGTACTCCTGATGAAAAAATAATGTAGGCGTGATGTAGTTAACTAGCTCTCAAGTATTGTGAATCTCTTACTTTTATGAAAAATATTTAGTATAAAAACATTTTATTATAAAATATTTATTATAATTTACTATAAATGATTCCTAGTATTCAGATTTAAGATTTAGAATAAACATACATTTTATAAATATTTTATAAGCATATATTTATAAGTATTTTATAAACATATTTTATAAAAATTTTATGAACATACCTTTTATAAAAATCTAAATATCCGATAAGTTTTATAGTGGCAAAAATGTATGATACACGGTATGGTAAATAACCCTAAATAATTTATATACTGTTAAATCTAACGTATCAGGCTTTCCCTTAAAAAATATATAGTAGCTTGTGTATTACCGAAGTGTATTTAAAAACGATTGCTAGACCAAAATGAAAAGAAAATCTTTAGAAAATCATTATAAGCTCTCTGAAAATAAAAAAAACCCAATGTTACTTAAAAAGCGCTTTTTTAGTGTACGGCTAAAATATATACTTTTTAAAGCAAATGACTTAAAATACATTTCTTATTATCAAAAGCAATATCTTTTTTATTTTTAGAAGAAGCAATTTCTCTGCTTTTTTAAGTTAAATATTTCTACTATTATTTTATTTGACTATCAAAAAACTTTTTTTTTAAATAGTTTTTTTAAGTAATATTTTTATTAAAACTTCAGCCAATCAAAATTAATCGGAACAATCGTTTTGTTTGGACATGTGTTTTTTCTTTCTGTGTATTATGTTCAATGATACACAGAAAGCTATAGGTGTGACCATTGTGGTCATGTGTCAAACTTGTAAATTTTATCAAAACAAAGGCCATTCGAATTGAATAATTAAATATATTAACAGAACGGATGAAAAATCATATTTGCTCATGAAGTTAAAACTGACCAATGGAATCCATTTTAAAAATAAATTATTAAACCGCAAAGAAATTTGTGCCAAATCAATAAATGCTTTATTATTATTATTATTATTTTATTTATTTAACACCCAATTTACAAGGTAAAAAGAAAAAAAAGAAAAAAGTTATTTCGGATGACTTTGCTTAAAAACGTTTTCTTCCAGAATTTGCTTGAAAACTTTTCTTTGCTCTTTTGCATTCCAGCACTCTATTGCATACTTCAAGTTTCGTTCAACTTTAGTAGATGTAAAAAAGAATTTGAACTCACGCAGGACACCATTCTGAAAGCCTCTCTTAAAACCCTTTGCAAAATTTTTTTGACACGCTTTTTTGAAACCCTATCATTGATCTTCTTTGAGTAGTTAAAAGAATTTTTTTACTACCGTTATAAAAACATGTAGAAAATTTTTTTTTGCACCCGTAATTAAAACATGTAATGAAAAGCTTTTCCTCCATGGTTAAGTACTATTAAGAAGATATTTCATGGAGGGAAGGAAATTGATGAATATGTTATCAAAAAAAGAATGCAGTTTTTTTTTCAAGAAACGGAGTTCCAGAAGTTTAGGTATCAGATAATGCGGCAGAATTTCATGATACCACTTTATACCAGTGGTCCCCCTTTGTAAGCGAGTAAAATAGCAGCATTGGGCTTGCTAACATCATATAGTAAACTTAATAACATCATATAATAATCGGACTGATCCAGGGACAACGACAATGTTTTGGGATAAAGAAGGAAAACGAACTAGTCAGGTTGTACCAGACGGTGATGCATTAGTTGATGGATTAAGGTTAACTGTGGAGGCAGTTCTACAAATAAAATGAGAGGGGTGAATCCTGAATAAAAAAATAATAATAAGGTCCTCAAAACTAAAATTCACACAACTGATTTGTGTTAAATACCAGACTAGCGAACTAAGTTCGTCAAAAAACCACTATACCTTGAAAATCACCTTCTTTGAGATACACCCACACCCACCCTAAAATTTTTTCTGGTTAACTGTTATTATTTGCCTATTACCTTTGGGCCCAAATCTTGTAATAAGGTTGCGGGCGTATATAAGTATCATTACGGAAATAAAAATTATACCTGTAAGGGTTGTAAGCGGAGATACTGTTGAAGTTACTAATACAGTTAGACAGTGGTGCGCAACAATAATTTGCAATTTATAGTTTAGCAAAGTCAGATTTAGAACAAGTTTTAATGACATTTATAATGATACTATATTTGGTAACAATTATGCCGGAGATATTTATTTTCAAAATGAACTTGGTGATACACCTAAAAATTCACTTTGACATGGCAGAATGACACGCTATGGTCGCAACCATCAAAATTAACAGGATTAAGGATTTAAAGCATTGGGTATAACTTTTCTTGGAAATAAACCGTTTATAACGGCAAAATCAATAAACGCTTTTGAAGCGTTAAAAGATCTATTTAAAATTATTTTTAAAAAGAGAATGATCAAAAAGTTACACCAATAGATTCAAACGATGTTGTTGAAAAATTGCACACTATTAGCGAGGAAACTGGCATTGAATTAAAAAAAAAATACAGCGGAAAAAACATCTAATAAAGAAAATTGCAGAAACAAAAAATAATTAAAAAAAAATATAAAGGTAAAAAAAGAGGTTAGAGGTAAGGTAAGAGGTAAGACAACTTGAAAAGTTTTTGAAATACCTTGATGAACAGCATTCTATGAGGTTAACTGAGCCTAACGAATTTTTTAATCATTATAATAGGGATTAAATTGGGAGAGAATATCAAGATCTTTTGGAAGAAGAAAAAAATGCAGGTACCATTAGTAGAAAATCCGTTGCAGATTTAGAAAAGAAGATAACCAAATCTCAAAATGAAAGATTTAAAAACGCAAAAAAGAAATATCAAGAATTGAAAGCAGCCAATAAAGCAAACAATTCTAAAATTGCAAAACAGAAATACTGAATAAATCAAAAGCTGTTTTTTTTTTGAAACAACGGAAGATTGTAAAGAGTTAACATATCAGAGTCTGCATAAGCTAAAACTCGCGATATGCTTTATGGAGTGATAAAAACTTTGACTGACACAACTAATTAAATAATAAATAAATAAGGGTGGACCCTTTACGCAGCATTTCTTATAATAGGAGCTGTAATATATGCTGTGGTAAAATTAATAGAAAAATTTGCAGTTTTGTCATCAAAAAGTAAAAAGCTGACTAGAGATGGAGATGGTGGAGGTGTATCATCAAAATTTGCAGGTGTATCATTAAAAAATAAAAAACCTGGTAATGGTGACAAATCAGATAAAAGTGGACGAGGCAGTGATGGTGATGGTAGGGATGATGGTGATGGTAGGGATGATGGGTTGGAGGTAATAAAAAAGAATGAAAAAAAGAATGCTTAAGCATTTTTCAAATGCAGTTCGGTGGATTAGAAAAAAAGTATAGGAGAGTTTCCCATATATAGGAATTATTATATGGTAGCTATGTGAAAAAGGAGCTCAAGTTGTTATGTGAACAGCTGATAAAGTATGGAGTGTTGTTATTGTTGCTGCTGTACAACTAGTTTTAGTTATAAAACGTTATAAACAAAGGAGACAAAATGTTAGATATAGGAAATATGCTAAATAATAAAATGGTTGCTATTGATATTATTATATGTGGTGGATGGGATTAATTTGACCATTTTAAGAATGATTTAAAAAAAGAACCAGAAAGGTACAATGATTATCTTGTTTTAACACACATACATGTAACTGGAAACCCTAATAGGACTTATCTTAGTGGAGGCAAACACTATTACTTAACTCCAGAGTTTAATTTAAACTTTAAGCACAAAATTTTGTCTTTAACGATGTACGATTAACAGAATAATAATCAACCTATTGCTACAAATGGTATATCACGTTGTTTGATAACAATTATTGACATAGAAACTCCAATAATATATGTTAACG